AAATGTGTTAGCCTAGATGAGGAGGACCCGTTCCTCGAAGGACACATTCTGCCAAAACTCACAGAGAAAGAGATAATTTGAAAGTGCCTCTATCTATTAAAGAAATTCAAACAGTAACTGAATCTTCTAAAATAAAACACCTTCAATCTCACATCATTTCACTACTGAATTCTACCAGGCATTTCTGAAAGAAATTAGGTCAGTTTTCTTCACTTTTCCGGAAGACAGGAGCAGAATGAATACTTTGTAACTTAACCCAGAGGCCAGCATTACCCTGATGCCAAAGCCAGAAAAAAAGCATTACAAGAAAAGAAAACTACAAATCAGTATCTCTCATGAACATTGTGCAAAAGTCCTCAGCGCAGTATTAGCAAACTGAATCGAATAGCACGCAGAAGGAAGAGGACACCTCAGCTAAGTGGCTGCATAAACTCTGTTCCCTCAGACAGGAGAATATGATTCAGTGCCGAGAAGACACGTGCGATCGAGCCGTAAAAAGACGCGGTGGAAATGTCAGTGCGTATCGCTAAGGGAATTAAGCCAAGCCGGAAAGACCGAGAGAAGTGCTGCCTTTCTTTTCTGTGATTAACCTTCCCACGATGGCTCTTCCTTCTGTCTCCTCTCACATTTGCTGTGTATCCTCCTCTCCTTTAGATCCATATTTTCGGCTTACTTACACCTCCTAAGTTATCCCTTCCTCAATGTGCTCCTGTCTTCTTGTGCTGTAACCTCTCGCTGTCAGAGTCTCAAAGAGAATTCTGAGCTGCCCCAGTGGCCTAACGGATAAGGCACTGGCCTCCTAGGCCAGGGATTGTGGGTTTGAGAATTCTGGATCCAGAACTCTCCTTACATATATTGAAGCTCTCAGTAAGTAAACTTATCAACCCAAAGTAAGATGCTCTACTTTTTATCCTGTTCAACCGCCCTTTCAAAATTTCATCCTACTCAGCTTGTCTATGTCCTTTATCTCCTTTCTCCTTTAAGTTCTGTCCTCTGGGGCATTCATAGCATCAGAATTTTTCTTCCTGTCTGTCGCATGGTTACTAACCTCGGTAATTTCTACCTCAGTAGCCCTGTCGTGTCCTTAGTGGATATGGAGAATGTAGAGATTTAAGGAATATCAGGAATACTAGGACAACATCATTCAGAGTTGGGGTGATGTAGGAGCAGAGAGAAGGAGCTGTCTGGTGTGCACGGTTACATGGAAAACAGTGGCTGTCAGTGAGATGGGAAATAGGAGAGGAGTTTCTGATTGTAGGAGATGATCATGCTTTGCTTTTAGACATTTAGACTTTGAACATGTTTAAGGCATCTGTATTTCTCCATAACCGTTCCCTCCTCTGACCTGGTCTGCTCCACCCTGGACCTCAGACTCTGGCACTCTACCTCCTGGGCATGACCTGTCGTCCCTGTCCCTGGGGCACAAGCCCAAAAGTTGTCCGTTTGAAACCCCTGTTCTTTCCGATTTGGTCACCCACCATCTTCGTTCCACATACAGATGCTCTTCATCAGCTCCTGGAGTCCTACTCCTGCTCCAGTACCAGAGTTAGATGCAAAATCTACCAGGAACCATAGCCTGTTTACCAGAACGAAATTAGTTCTGTCCTTGCTACTTCCTTACCTCTTTTGTGTTACTTCCATTTGGGCTCTTGTCATGTGCATGGTGTGTTATAAATTCAGTAGTCATTTCTGTATCTCCTACTGGAATGAAACCCATGGAATAGAGGGTTAGATCTTATTCCACACACAATATCCTCACAACACATGAGTCAATGTCTTGAGCATAGAAAGATCTCAGTAAATGTGGCTTGTGTTGAACTGTACGCTTAGATTTCTATCAAAATAATATTGATGATATGGGAAGGTTTTAAAGAAAGTGCCCTTCTGAAATTTATGGCTACTACTTTTATAAATTTAGATTTTTAACTATCAAAATGTGCTTTCCTTACAATTTTGTTTAATACGTGGCATGCAGCTAAATCTGACAAATCAATGCCTGCACTTTTTTAAATTATTTGATAATAAAGACATGAAAGATATCCAGAAAAATCAGAAATCGTGACTGATTAGCTGTTCACTGATATATAAACTTGTGTGTATAAACATTTAGATATTCTGTGAAAAAGTAGGTGTACTTTAAGAAATATTATGCTAAGAAAGATGATTTAAAGATACTTTTAACTCAAACTTTAAGCATTCAGTTTGTTTCATGCTAAGGACATGATGAAGATTAAACCATCAGTCTCCTTTCCATCCTTAGATCCAGACACAGGCAGGTGAGGAGCTTGGCTTGTGCTCAGCAGTTCCCACAGTCTGGCAGAATGGTGCAGAGACTTAAACGTGAGGATTTCCCTCCGGTGCTGTATTCCCTCTTGAACTTCCTGCAGTGGCTCTACAAAAGACGAATTTGAGCCTAACTTTGAGGAAAAGTAGAATTTTGCCACACATGAGAAGAAAATAATTCCAGGTAGAGAAAACAGAATGAGCAAATACAGAGCACTTAGAGTCCTCTGCCCCTGGGGGACTGGGCAGGAAGGACAGCGGAGAAGGCAGAGGGCCAAGCGAAATCCAGAGGACAGTGAGTTCCTTCCCAAGGACCGTTTAAGTTGTGCTGTAGAAAATGGAGAATTGTCTGGGTTTTAATCACCACAACAATCAGATAAGTTCTAATTTTTGATAGCTTTTTTAACAAACTTGTGGAGGATGCATTCACAGAAAAGGAAAGACCGGACCAGCCAGGCACATGACAGCCCCTGCTGTTTCCCATCTGCTCTCTGTCATTCTCCAGGAGCCACCTCCAACTGCCAGGTGTGCTCATAAGAGCAGATAAAAAGTTCAAGGCCTTTCACTTCATTTACATAGATAATTTGATTTTTTTTTCTCTATTTTCTGAAAAAGAGTGCATCAAAATGATCATACAGGGCCGAGTATTTAGCTCAGTGGTTCTGCCACATGCCTCACAAGCACAAGGACCTGAGTTCAATACCTGCTGCAAAAAAAAAAAAAAAAAAATTATTATATAAGATGATTATTTGGGGTCTCTGAAAAAGGGGGATGTCAGTGATGCTTGTTTGTTTCATCAACTGTGGAGAACAACTGGGCAGATCCTGCACCAAAAGCTGGGGAGGACACAAGCACCCACTCAGTAACATTTACTCAGGACCTACGAGGGCTGATCAAAAACTACAGTGCAGGTTTAAATTCCTTTTTCAAAATTATAGTGAAAGATTCAGTATCCCTCTCAAAATACTCCCTTTTGCTTCCATTTACCCCATTGTTCTTGTCACCTTCTGAAGTCCTCCTTCGTGGATGTCTCTGTGGCATCATTACAACTACAGGGAATGCTGCTGCTGATCGCCCTCCAACAGCAAGGCAGGCTCCTAGAAGAATTACAGTGTCCTCGTCCACCTCACTGGCCAGACCTGGTGGTGTTCAATCTCTGGCTCTTCCCTAACATCAAAATGACCAGAAAGGGAAACATTTTGAATCATTTGTGACATCAAGGCAGCCAGGACAGTGCAACTAAAGACAGTCATGAATGAGGACTCCAGAGCTGCTGCAGGAAGCGGGCAGGAGGTTGGGAAGAGTGTGTCTGGGATGAGGGAAGTGCTTTGAGGTGGATTAATAGCAGTGTGTCTTTTACTGTGATACTTTTCAATTTTAAATATTCATTGTCTCTTTCAATCATACCTCATATTATGTTCTAAATAATGTGCTTATTCATGTGATAAAATGGGGAGGGAGCAAAAGATATAGTCTTTCAAATCTTGAAATATTAATTCTAGCAAAGGATTCAAATATCACTACATTTTCTGCATAAATAAGCACATGATTATACATTTCTATAAATTATTATGGTGGAATCTAAGAATTACAAATGGGAGTAAGACACTATTCCAAGCATTATACTCAAGTCTTTCATTGGGTATGTGACTTGCAAATATTTTTCCCAGTCCATGGCTTTGCTTTTTATTTCATTGACTGAATTCACTGTATCTTTCACACTAGCAAGTCCATGAGTTAGGCACACTAAAACCCAAGATACAACAAGGAAACCAATGTGGATGGAAAGGTCGGGCTGGAGGGACTTGGGAAGAGATGATGTTGGGGGGTAACGGGGTGAGAGGAGTGGGGGCAGAGGGACAAATCATATAGGGCCTTGTAGGCCACGTCAAGGTCACAGCTATTGCTTTGCCTAATAGTGGGAAGACAGGAATTCTGGGCAGAGGAGCAAGAAGGTGTGACTTATTTCCAAAGGACCCTCCGGCGCTGGGGATGACAGGGGACTTTAGACCAGTGGACAAATCCAAATGCTCAGAAACACGTCACAGAATAAACACTGAAAATACAATTCTCAAAATAAAGTAAATGTCTGGAAAAGTTTAAGCAAGCCATTGTGTTTATCTCAGCAATTCCTCTAGCCTTCACATTGCATAAAGCTCTTCATGCTATTTTTGAAAGTCATTGACATGTTCTGCTTTGGAAATAAAGGTTCTAGTACCTGAAATCCAGTTTTGCACACATTTAACCTTTTGAAATTTTAAGACGTGATTTATTTTGTATATATCTCAAATCCTGCTGGATAATAATTTTTAAATTATCATACTTTGACCACCAGTGGCCTCTAACACTGCCCCCGACAACACCAGAAATCTAATGAATTCAAATCTGGCAGTCTCACCGCTTTGTAACACATTAAATCATACCTAGAAATTTATGGGACACTTCAAACTTTTAGCAAACTTAAGATTTTCTTGATAGAAACTATGGACCCTTTTGATTGTCCATGAAGTAAGTTTCATATGTTGTGTTTTCTCAGTGGAAAAGAGAAAGAAAACAGCAGACACTGGATATTTTCTGGTAGCCTATGACTGAATTTAGAAAACAACGTTACAGCGTTATGCAGACCATCTCACATGGATCTAAAACTTACCTCTGCTCTGATCAGTAATAAGCTCTGAATTCAGAAGTGTTTTGTTTTGTTTTGTTATTCTCCACAGGCACGAACGTGTTCATACCAAGAAAAGTAACTTGAACAGATCTTTAATTTCCATTCCCAAGGACGTAGATGATCTAGCCACCCTAGACATTTTGGACGAGGTAAGAACTGGGTTTAAATTTCAAAGCTCTAGGGTTTTTAAATTTATAGAAATGAACTAGACAAGGGATTCTTTGACTACCAGCTGCTCATTTTTCCCTCAACTTTCCGATTAGCTTTTCTTTCTTCAGATTTAATAAATAAAACTCAAATTTCCAGATCTTTGTATCCCAGTGCCATTTCGTTAATGTTCAAATGATGAAGGTGGGGAATCTCCTAAGCATGGGTTGTTGAGTTACAGATCTTTTTTCTCTTCAGTTATTTCTGAGCGTCTCAAACATATATCTGACTGTGTTTAGAAGACAGTCGGCCTCTCCCACTGCCCGGCACCTCCCTCTTCTCTCCTGCTCTCAGTGGCTGAACCCAGAGTCCGGCATGACACCATGAGAACCTTTGTTACCAGGGCCAGCGGTCCCTCATGGGATCACAGAGCCCAGAGATACTAGCCACTTTACCCCAGATAACCAGATCATCAGAGAAATAAATGGCTTTATTTTCAGAGAAGGCTGGGGCTTCTACCTGGTTGACAAGCTTTTGTTATTTTAATACTTCTATTGGCGTACCTAAGCATTTTGCTGAGAAATACACCAAATCAAGAGACGCGGGCTGAGCAGAAGTAGTCTGCTGTCGTTTTTGAACAAAGAATATACGTCACAGGTCCACGTGCTCAGGGCTTGGACACTGGGGAGGTGGGGAGGTGTGGGCTAGGCCATTGGGTGCGTCCTTAAAGGGCACATGGGACCTTGGCGTCTTCCTATCCTCTCCCTCCTGGCCCAGCATGAGCGGTTCTTGTTCCTGCTCACGGTCCTGCCATAGTGCTGCCTCCCGTGACCCCAGAGCGGCGGGGCCACTGTCAAACCTCCAAAACGGAGAGCCAGGAGAAACCACTCTCTTCATCCTGGATGCATCTCGGGCATCTGTTCCAGTAATAGAAAGCTTAACATAGTCACTTGGGAAACTTAGGATAAATAAACAGCTCGAGCGCTTTCTCAAATGAATCTCCTCAGGAGCATCAGATATCTTAAGATCGCTGGCACCTTTCTTAATCCTTACATATCAAATTTTGCGGTGATATGAATTCTTAGGCTTATGAATTATACAGGTTTCAGCAATCACGTTGTTACCAATTATTGTAATGTATTAAATACTGGGCTTGTTCCTTTGTGTTGTCTGTGTTTTAAGTGTTTGTTTCTTTTTCACCATATTATCTCTTGCTCCTGTAGTGTGTGGAGTTCTATGAATGATTTCTGACAGACTTACAATGCACTAATGTGACTAGCGTTTATCAACTGTGAGAGTTACTTGTCTGAAGTTTTCCCTCCACTTCACAGAGCCAAATGTCTAAGGAGAGGACTAGGACATTCCACAAAGCCATTAGAAATACAGCCGTGCTCACTGGATCTTTCCCGCCCCTGGCAGAATACTTTTTCTTCATTTCTTTTTCACTTATTTCCTTGAATTCGATATAGCATTATCTAACATATTGCATATAACATACAATGTGTAATATCAAACGATGTAATATTTCCTTTGGAAAATGAAGTTAATACTGACATTCCTATTTGATTCTCAAAACCAGAGAAAAATACCAGTCCATAGAACAGGCACTTGCAGGTCTGATGTTACATTTTTTACTATTACTATCTCTGGTTTCAGACTCTAGATGCTTTACTTATTTATTATTTATTATTTATTTTGCTATTCAATTGTAATTCACGCATTGATTTTTAAAGACAGAAATTTTTTTTTATGCAGAACACAGTCTCAGAGCAGCTTGAGAAGTGTTACGCCCACGATCAGATCTACATGTATGTGGGAGATATACTCATTGCTCTGAACCCTTTTCAGAGCCTGGGTCTGTATTCCACAAAGGTATGTGCTGTGCCTTGTATTCTCTTATTTTGTACAGATAAGTATACTTTTCAGATGCTTACTAGAAATGGATGTCAACAAAAAATTTTATCTAGCATTTTGAAAAAAAATTATATAATTATTGTTAAACTATGAAGATAAAAAATAGACAAAGTCAATCTAGATGCAGTTTCTGGTCTTCCTTTCTCCAAAGTATGTATCAGAATGTTAATTATGTCCCATTACTATCAGCAACTTGACAATACATAGCATATCACTAAACAGATGTAGTAAAAGTGTGCACTTAATGTCTGCCTCTGAACCAAGTATTTGAGACTCAAATAGAACTGCAATATATAATTATATGCATACAATACATACATAGTAGTTGTAAATCCTGTGAGTTTAAAAGTTTCTTGTAACATACTGATTGGCTTCATTACTTCCATACAATGTGTGTTTATGAATATGAATATATAATTATCAATTATTCAACCCCTAATCATTTAAATATAGAATTAAACTAGACTTTTTATTCTTAATTGGACCTATTCTTTTCTAGCTATTCATGTACTGTAGAAAATTAGTATTGTACCCAACAGTTATTTTAACTTTGAAAAATACTTATCTATTTCCCAGTACCAACCTAAACTTTATGGAATAATGATAAATTCATGAGCCTTGATAGAAGTTACAGAAGTTGGGCTTTTTTATACATCTTTTTATACATTTTTATGCATACAAAAGTATGCTGTGTGATCTTGTACAAATTACATGAGACAATGTAAATTAAATGAAGTAAGAGGAGAAAAGCAGTGCTTTAATGTTAGACTTTATATCCAAAGATTAATCCATAACATGATACTTGATTGTTTTATGTATAAAATATTTTTATCTAAACATACTAGTGTGTTTTGAAGTAATAGTACTTTGAAGCCTTAATTTCTGCTTTGGAAGTGACATGCAAAATCTTTTACATATATTTCCAGTGATGTTATATTCTCCTGCGTCATACCATATTCCTGGACTATTTCATTTCAGACTTTTATTTTACATAATTGTTTGTGATTTGTGAACATATACATGTATACATGTGTAGTGTATGTAATATTTGTTGAAATGAAGTTAGCATTTTTATTTATATTTTGCTTTTAAAATTAGAACTACAGCTGTAAATAATCCATGGCTTAAATAAAAAGAGAAACAAGATTAAAAAGTCCTACAAGATCTCCTCTTTTTAACTTTTAGCATTCCAGACTATATATGGGAGCAAAGAGAGCTGCTAACCCCCCTCACATTTTTGCAATGGCGGACTTAGGATATCAGTCCATGGTCACTTATAATTCAGACCAGGTAAGGCGAGCCCTTCACGCCCTCCAAAACTCCTCTGTTTCTCGTGTGCCTGGTGAATTCTGTGAGACTGAAAAGTCCTCTCACAGTTGCCTTTTCTCCTTGTGCAGTGCATCCTCATTTCTGGAGAAAGTGGTGCTGGAAAGACTGAAAGTGCTCATCTTTTAGTTCAGCAGCTGACGGTGCTTGGAAAGGTAGAATTCAGTGTTTCTCTGTCCTGACAGAAATGTTTGTTATATTTTAAAATATTCACTAGTATGTAATAGTCACTAGTTCCCAGATTCGATAATGCATGGGAATTAGAACAGATAATTATATTTTCAGCTTAAAATATAACAAATAATATTAAAGCATATACTGTGCTTTGAAAATGTTACAGCTTTTTTATTCTTATTAGGTATGTTAGTCTCTTTGCCATTGCTGGGACAAAATACTCAATGCCTGTAACTTAAAGAGAAGATTCCTTTGGCTCAGTTTCAGTGGGTTCTGTCCATGGTCAGCACTCCCCGGCAGAAAGAGCATGGTGGACGGGCAAGTGGCAGAGAGCTACTCACCCCTTGGCAGTCAGGAAGCAGAGAGGGAAGGGAGGAATCGGGGACAGAAAGACGCTTTTTCAGGTTGGTTATCTAGTGACCAATACTGGACCGGGCCCACCTACTAACAACCTATTCAGCTATGAACCATCAGTGGGTGAATACACTGGTGACTATGGTGGCCTCATGGTCCAGTCACCTCCCAGAAGCGCCACCTCCGAACACACGAGACCTTAATGGGACATAATGTTAGTCAAGCTCGTATAAAGATGATTTTTCTGTCTTGTTAGCCCCAGTGCATTTGTGGAATGCTTTCTGTATTTTCTCTCTTCTTGTTGCTAGAAGACTAAAATAGAGTTATTATTTTTAAAAAATCAATTGCCTATATATCATATATATTAACAAAGATCAATTTCACATTGAAGTTTAAAAGTATCATTTTCAATAGCACCAAAACATATGAAATACATAGATCTAAATCTTGTATGTGTAAGATCTGTATGCTAAAAAAGAAAAAAATCATAAATCTAAAAAGAACTAAAATATAGAGATATAACATGTATATGGATTAAATCATTAAATATTATTGAGATCATTTCTTTACAAATTGATCTGTAGATTCAATGTAATTAAATTAAAATCCTGGAAAGTTTTTTGTGTGTGTGGAAATCAACACACTGAATCAAAAAGATATATGGAAAGGCAAAAAAATAGAATAGCGAAACAATTTTGAAAACAGTAAAGTTGGAAAATAATTACTCTACCTGATTTCCAGACTTACTATAGAGTTGCTAAGAAATATGTTATTAAAGGAAGGATGACTTATGGATTAATGGAATAAAATAAACAGTCTGCACATATTATTTATTTTTGACAAAGGCACATGGTCAACTGATGAGGAATGGTAGTCTTTTCTTTTCTTTCTTTCTTTCTTTCTTTCTTTATTTATTTATTAGTACTGGGGATTGAACTCAGGACTTTGTGTTTGTGAAGCAGGCGGTGGAACCACTGAGCTAAACCCCTGGCCCCGGTAATCTTTTAAACATACGGTGCTGGGATGATTGCATATGCCCAGACCAACCCCTTCACACAATGAACATTAATCCAGGCCTCATACATTATGAAAATTTAACTCAAAATGGATCATAAGTCTAAATGTAAAATCTAAAACTATAACATTTATGGAAAAGAACATAAGAAAATGTATTTTGATCTTGAGTTGTCAGCTGATGAGTTCTCAGATATAATAAAAATGCATAACTCATAAAAGGATGAACTGAATTTTTACCAACTTACGAGTTTTTCCTTGGTGACTCTGTTAGGCTGATGAAAGCCGAAGTACATTCACCGCATAACCGAGGTATCTACACCTGTTTATTCCCATGCTCATACAGAACCCTGCAGGCAACTATTTACAGTGATTTAATGAATAAGCTCCAGAAAGTGGAAATGGCCAAACTAAAGCATAGATAAGCAAACCATGGCACCGCCATGCAGGGCAGTATTACTTAGAAATAAAGAGGAGCAAACACTAATACAAGCAGTGCATCTCGTTAGATGAATCTCAGATGCGTTGTAGTGCATCAGAGAAGTCAGACTGAGAAGACTCATGTGCCGTATGACTCAGTGCCATTCTTATACATGTAGAGATACAGGGACAGAAGCAGACTGAGAGGATCGGGAGCTGGATGCAGAGGGACAATTGAGTCCAGAGGGTCAGAAGGGAATTCCGAAGGCTGAAAAACTGTTTGTACTGGAGATTAACTGATTGTATACATTTATCTAAACTTTCAACTATAAGCCATGCAGAGTGACTCTTTCTCTATATAAATTAATCCTTCCTCTTTTAGGGGAAGTTGAAGAGATTTTGATTTTCCAGGAAAGCCCCTAAAATCAGATAAAACAAGAATTGAATTTTCTCGTTAAACTAGCAACTAAAAAAACACTGTATACTACTAATCCTTAAAAATTTTTATTATGACCTACATAGTTGTAATTAGGGCTGTGTCAGAATTTTTGACAACACTGTGACTGTGTGAATGTTATGCTATAAGCACCCGTGGGTACAGGGTGAGCTCTAATCTCTCCATAAAAAGAGAAGGCTTCATGGTGTAAATCAACTCTCCAGTTAAGCCTAATTTTATCCAAAATGATAAGTAGAAAGAATCTCACACTGCTGTTAAAAAGCAGTTGACTGGTTCTAATATTTTCTGTCAGGCCTGTTGGTATGGAGTAGCAGGGTGCGTGGGGCAGTGTGTTGGTGACCTTTGTTCTCCAGAACTGTGGTCCTCATGCTGAGACCAGAGAGGAGGTGCAGCCAGCCCCTCGCCTCATGTCTGAGATGAGCGCTCCGGGAGGTTTGGAGGACTGCACATAAAATGAGACTCGGGCAGCCAGCCAGGAAGGCGCAGCGTGCTACCCTGTGCGCGGGTGCTGAGCACTGAATCAATTTCCTCAAGGGTTGTAGGCAAGGGTTCTGCCACGCTGTCCTGGTTCGTGGGCGGATAGAGATTCTCAGCCATCACGAATTAAATCTGTGTGTGGGTTGTTTATAGATGGGAGTCTAATCTCTTCGTCTTGTCTGTTGTTTTTGTTCATGAGCCCGCTCGCAGAACAAAGGTTCAGGACCTTGGACTGGGAGGGCAAGGCGCGGAATCACCAAGCAGACCCCTGGGAGGTTTCTGGAACGCTTCCTCTTTTAATAAGTTCAGCCAGCAATTTATAAAGTTTTGAAAGAGGGAGTGGCAAAGGGGGAGTAATATATTTGGCTTAACAGGATAGGTTATTGGAGTGTCCTTGGACGGGAGATGGAGGCACCCAGCTAGGGGGGATGGGCGAGGCCATAGCCGGACATAGACAAGGCTCAACGCACGAGCTCGGCCTCTACTAGTGTGCTAGGAGACACACGTGCAGGGCACTTGTCCCAGCCAGACTTGTACCTCGCTTACACTTGTCCCAGATCTAAAAATGTAATTTCACTGTGTATACTCACATGGAGAATCCATGCCTTATTGGGTCTTATCTTGTTTTTTATTTATCTCCTGGATGAAAGATTTACCCTATGCAAAACTGGAATGTTTGAGCCTGGTGGGAGAGCCTGTAATCCCAGAACCTGGGAGGCTGAGGCAGGAGGATCCCTTGAGTTGGAGGCCAACCTGGCTACATAGTGAGTTCAGAGCCAGCCTGAAGTACAAAGGGAGACCTTACCTCAAACAAACAAACAAACCAAAAAATGGGACGTTTGGTAGAAATTCTTTGGCATATGTGTTCCCTCCAATCCTTGCTATTTAATACAGGTTGATAATGGTATTGTTCCATCTTTTGCATGGCTGCAAGACCAACATTAAACATTTTTTAATAAAAATATTTTTAAATTATACTTTCACTGGTAGATTTTACTAATGTATTTTTACCAGTACATGTTTGCAATGATTACATTCATCGTAGGGAGCCTGTACAAGTTTATAATACATCTTCCTTCTTTTTGTCCCCTTCCTCTCCCCTCCCTCTTTTCTTCCTCCAACGTTGTTAATCCCCTTCTCGCTGAAAAAGCTCTATTTCCATTTTTTTCTTTTCAAAATTTTTCCCATTCCTTCCCTCCCCCCTCTGTCTCTCAGTCTTCTTCCTATTTGAAAAAGATTTCTTTACTTCCTGTAATCTACTCTTTGGCCCTTCATTTATGTTTGAGATTTCTTGGATAAGAGAAAGTGCAATGTTTAAGGTCGTGTGTCTGACTTATTTCACTTAACACTGTGGTCTCAAGGGGCAGCCACTTACCTACAAATGCCTCCCGTACCTTTCTTTATGGCAGAGAAGAACTCCATTGCAGCCCAAAGCATTTTTAAAGCCACCAAATTCATACTGATCTTCCCTACTGTCTCTTTTCACCCCACTGCCTCTTTGAGAAGGTTCCCCAAGTCCTCACCCAGCCTCACAACTCCCCTGTGACTGTTTCTTCAGCCCCACAAAGTCTAGTGTGGTCTGTTTCTCAGACCTAAGTGCTGCTCCGCTCCTTCATCTTACAAAACGTCTGTGTCTCTAACATAGCTGATTTTAGCGTGGTGTTAAGGTGTGACACTGACCACAATCCCGTCATGCTACCTTCTGCCACGATACGAGTGACTGATACCCCTACAAACCTCTAACGGGTAGGAAGGTGGACACATCTTTCTAAAAGTTGATTGTGTGAGTCCAAGTAAATTTCAGCTTGGTGAGGTATCAGGGAAAGTGGTAAAGAAGAAAAACAAAACCTAACACTTGTTTGAGTGTCACGGCTTTAAATGAAGTAAGAGAAAACAGAGGCACAGCTGGGTGTGCTGCTGGCTGGGTTGGGGGTTCCACCCTCCCATCCACTTCTGCACCGGCACCTGCTGTTCACAACTCCCTTTCCTCCACTCAGAATCCACAGCGCGTCTTTACTCCCAGTTTCAGGGTTAGCAGCTTCTGTGTGCGCAGGGGAAGAGGTTCTGGCTCTGGGGAGGTTTGGCTGGGGCTGGGCTGGGCGAGTGGGGATGAGAATAAGACAAGAGATGTGCTCCGCAGGGCACAGACTGTTCACCGATGGGTTTGGTCTGTAAATCAGGGCCTGTCATAACTATTTGAAAAGAAGACATAGAGTATCTCTTTACCCTTTTTTAAGACATGAAGAGGGAAGGTACCCACGTGGACAGGGTAGCATAGACCAGGTTATAACAGCCGCGAGTTTGTGCAGAAAATGTTCTCATGTGTCTGTGTCTACACAGAGTGCTTACGAAGAAGTGGTCTCTTATTACAGACACACTTTTCTATGCTTTTTTATGTCTTGACATCTTCTTCCCAGGCTAATAACAGAACCCTACAAGAGAAGATTTTACAAGCGAGCAATTTGGTAGAAGCCTTCGGCAATGCCTGCACCATCATAAACGACAATTCTAGCCGGTTTGGGAAATACTTAGAAATGAAATTTACCTCTTCTGGAACTGTGGTGGGTGCACTCATTTCTGAATATCTTCTGGAGAAATCCCGAGTTATCCACCAAGCTACGTAAGTTCAAGAGCAGTTTCTCCTGTTTTCTGGGAAACAAGAGCCAAGACAGTGTTTCTGTTTTAATAGGAAAAGGTCTTTCTCACCTAATGAAATTTTGTCAGTAACTTAACTCAGCCTGGCACGTAGCACTGGAAGCAGAGGCCCCTCAGCACTAACTGCCACATATGCTGCATTCGGTGCAGAAATTAATAAATAACCCACAACTTACGCTACCAGACAAAAAAACCAAAGCTATCACAGAGGTACTAACGGGTAAATAGGAGCATATCCTGCAGTATTTATTTCTCTACATGAAATCAATATGAAATTTAATTAGAAATACCCTTGAATCTGGGTTTCTTTTAAATCATGCTGTGCATAAATAGATCTTTGAATGAATTCCCTTCTTTCTGTGTTTACAACGAAGGGACTAAGTGAAAGATTCAGCAACGGGCTCTGTTGTATTGCTGACTGATGTAAGCCACCCATGCGTTCTACATTGTTCATTTGATATTAGATTATTTGATATTAAATCCCTTTCAGTAGTGTCTTGGTCGCTTCATTACTGAGGCAAATACCTGCTACCTGCCGCTGAAAAGAGGAAGGGTTTATCTTGGCTCACGGTGATGGCCGTGGTCAGCTGGATCCAAGGTACAAACAGCCTGGCAGGTGGGCAGGTAGGCAGGAAAGCGACACGCGCACCGTGGTAGTCCCGGAGAAGAGGCAGAGAGAAGGGGGAGGTGGGCGGGGAGATGCTTCCCGGCCACGCCCCGGGGAAACGCCTCTTCCAATCAGGCGCGTTCACCTGTGGATGCGTCCCTGGGTAAATCCCCTAAAGAGCATCGCCCTGCGATCCTATCGCCCTTCGAAAGCCTGCCTCCCTCCAGGCAGCTAAGAGTTTGGGGGAGAGGTTAGATCTAAACCAGAACAAGTAGTTTGTAGCTGAATGACAGTTTTCCTCTTCTGTGTGAGGACTCCAAGCGTCTTTATGTTATTTTTAGGCAAAAACTAGTTACACGTTTGATTCGTACCCTGCTGGTGATATTATTTTTGAGAAAGTGTGGCAATTTGGAATCTTGCTTTTTTCTGTTGGTTTCATGCTGTTCACGCTCTGCTTCGTTGTAGTAAAATTTCACGTTAAATTCACAGGAAGATAAACTATGGTTACATATTTGTATATTATTTAATGCAAGTGCATTCAAATTTGCTGTCATTTAATTGATGAGTAGCATGCATATGGGGCTAGGGGTGTCGTTCAGCGGTAAAGTACGTGCATAGCATGTACAAGGTCTTGGTTTCGATTCCCAGCACAAAACAAAGCGACGAATGAATGCTGGTTGCCTGGACTCCAGCTCTGGAGCACCGCGTTCAGTGTGGGTAGTTGTCATTGAGTCTTCAACTACAAGTGTGTAAGAAATCATTATCAGGCTGATACGGCTTTAAAATATGGCTTCAGGAGTCATTAGTCTGCTTTGGGTAAGATATTTAAACCTGAGAAATGGCACAATTAGGATCGCATTTGAGGCATGCCACGAATTAAATAAGCTTTTTTCCAAGATGGGCTAAGCTATTTTAGCTTCACCACTCTGTTTATTGGAAAAAAGCTTTCCAGCTCCCAAATTCACAGTTTAAATACAACTCAAATGTTATTTGAGCACAGCTACCTCATAATTTACACCAAAGCTAAAGTTTCATTTTTCTATTGTTCTTTCACTTCCTATGAGTTGCATTTTATATACCAGAGGAGCTTTTTGTGACCTGTAGAAGGAATTTATGAGAGATATCGGAGAACCATTATTTGTAGGTTTATTTTTTAATTATAAATGTAAATGAACTGTGTGAGTCAGAGCTACTAAAAAGAAAGATCTAGTTCAAAGAGCCGAAGTGAAAAACCTATTCGCAAATGTGGAATGGGCATGAAGGAACCCAGGGTGAATGGGGCGATCTCCGTGGACTAACAAGGGTGGGAAATGTGGGGGACCTGCAGCTCCGGGGCAGGGCGGCCGTCCCGGGGCCTGGAGGACGTGTGCTCCCAGCTCGCTTGTCCCATTCTCCAGCGACCTCTCCTGCTTCCTGTCGGCTGGGCCCAGGGGAGCCAGAGAAGGGTACTGCAGGGCCTTTGGGAGACCCAGAGCTCCCCAGGGAAGACTGGAGCCTGGATGTGAGGCCAGGGGAGAACCAGAGCAGACGCATTGCTAAACACGAATGCAGGCTTTCTTCTCAGAGAATTGGTTGTTTGCTGTGTCCTCTGCTGTGCGTGTGGGTGTGATGTCACACCCATCTCTGATCACATTTATTGTCCAATTAACTTTCTCGTGGTGACCCTCTTGGGACTTGCGACTCAAGTCCTTTCCCAAATGTGGGTGATTTCAAAGAAGAACATTGGGGCTCCTTAAATTCAAGGGGAAAATGAGCACATTGAAGGCCTTGCTGGGCAACTCTCATAAACATAGATCACGGTTGTTTCTGCCCCACTCCTTCTTGTCACAGCAGGGTAGCTGGGCAAGCACTGTTTTCCTCTCCCTCGCCAGCCCTGTACTGGGAGTCGTAAACCCGAGGCAGCACCGTGCTGTCTGCTGTGGAGGGAGGGGAAATGCATTCATGGAGCAGTCGCTTGGTGTCAGGCACTGCGTGAAACACCTTACAGCCTTTAGGCCCTAGAATTCTCACAGTCAGACAGAGGGGTTATTGGCTCTTTATCCTTGGTGAAACTGCAACCAAAGGGATTTTAATGTGGCCCAATGTCAAAAGCTAGTGAGTCACTGATTGGAGTCTGAACCCTTATCTGTCTGACTCTAAAGCCCAGCTTTTGGGGCCGGGGATTTAGCTCAGTGATTCTGCCAGCTGCCTTGCAAGCACAAGGTCCGAGTTCGATCCCCAGTACCAAAAACAAACAAACAAACAAAGCCCAGCTTTCCTTCACTTGTTCATCCACTCATCCATTTGGCCAGGTGTTTATCGAGTGCCTTCTAGATCCCTGTGGTCTCCCAAGGATGCTGTTTGCCTTGGAGCAAAGCTTGCTGTCATTGCTGAGCCTCGAGACCCTCAGGAAAGCAGGGGACGAGACGAGTCTTTTCCTGACGCTCTGATGGGTCCAGGGCCGGACATGAGATGGTGATGCTGAAAGTTGCTCCTGTTCCCCGTGCTCTAACCTCGTGATTGTTTATTCCACGAAGGTCAGTTTATTGTCCACCGTATCTCCAGCTCTTGTCAAATCACAGTTCCCAGTAAATGTGAACTGATAATTAATAGAAATCCACTGTTTGTGCGTGTTTCCACTCATAAGTCACTTTGGTAATTGCACAGTGCATCACTTAAGAGCTGAAGATGGGACACAGGGAGCAATCAGTGGAACAAAGCAAACTAAAGTACACACTGTGCTCATCTTGGAGAAATGTCATTGTTTTTGTGGCGAGAAGAGATGAGAACTAAACTGAACTTGTACTTCGAGCTCCGAGCAGTGCTGGGATTTATGGAAGTCGCAGGTGACTGCCTGGGGACTTGGGGCTGCAAATCCGACCTGCTCCAAGGAAGGGTGTGCCCCGTCCGCCCTGGCCTGGGGACCCCTTCTGGGAGCCCTCCTGATTCTTCCCCTAGGACTTAGGGTCCCGTGTTCATTCTCAAAATGTGCATTTATGGAGATTTGCCCTCGAGGCTTTTCTACTTTCTCCCTCTACTTTCTCACTTTGCAATATTTTTCCTGCACCATGACCTCCATACCCAAAGATGTGCTTCTTTCCCTCTCCTAAGTTCACATTTCCCAGCTACTGAAACATCCTGCTGCCGTCTCAGATTCAGCTGAATCCATTCCCACAGCCATGTCTTTCCGCAGTTCCTCCTTTTGGGAACTGTTCCCCTATGGCTGTGAAAACTCTGACTTGCTTTCCACACGTAGATGCTTGGGGAGCTGTATGGACTCCAACTCTGCAGTCACTTTTTCTCCTCTCTGCTTCCTCTTTCCTGGCGACTCTTTCACCCCAAGCTCCTCTTGGCTCTGACCTGACATTGAAAGATTTGCATTTCATGGCATCTGAGCTCTGTTCCGAGGGTTAGTGACACTGTGCCCTCCCGGGGAGAGTCTGACCCAGAATCTGTGCTAATCACTAGCACCATTACTTTTCTCCTTTCGATACTAACAAGGAAAGGTGGAGGTCTGCATGATTCATTTTAGCGAGTTCTGCTCTTTCACACAAGTATTTTTATTTTTTAACTTTTGGGAAAGACCAACTGGGACACTTGAGATAATTATTAGTACAGCACCAATATAAACCTTTAGCCATGTTACTTTATGCCTGCATTAATAGTGTGTTAGGCTCGAAGGAGCTGACGTGAAAGTTCTTCAGTTCTTGGCAGAATCTTGAACCCAAACTAAAGATTACAAAATAGTAAAGCGACAGATGTTCCAAAACTCTAAATATCTTTCTGTTTTGTCTAGGAAAAGCACGAATTTAGGGATATGTTTAAATAACTTTTGATTCTGAAGAAAACTTTTGTATACTGTAAGAATAAAAAATTTCTAAAGAAAGCAGAGGTGAAGTTTCCATCTCCACTGAGATCAGTCTACATAATATATAGGAGGAGATCATCTAGGAAAGTTTTAAAGTCCTTTCTGATCTTTAAGAAAATAATTCGGGTAAAATCATGCATTTCATATAGCGCTCTTTTTTCTGTTTCATTCACTTTACATGGAAAAGTTTCCAAGCCCCCCTTGGAGTGAAAAATATTGACTTAATAGCAATCATTCTTTCCTGAGAAGACTTCATTGCCCCGTATCTCTGATAGAGGCTGTGAAGGAAGTGAGAGAAGGGAACGAGCGGGCACAAGCTGCCCTGGAACCCCCAGTCCGGCCGAGGCCATGTCGGGGGGCAGGAAGGGGAGCGAGCGCAGTGACAATGCCGGATCTCGTGGTCACAGCTGGAATTTGGGTGCCAGAGAGAGGCGGACCCGGCTCTCCCAGGTGGCCACAGGGCCGCCAAGAGTGGGTGTGAAGCAGGACAGAGGGGCAGTGGGGCCAGAGCCTCTGGGACGCAGAGCGTCCTTCTCCCCTGCTTTGGTGCAGACCCTGAATGTCCAGTCTGTCCCGGGAGCCGTCAGACCGAGGGAGGTGACTTGGTTTGAATCCAGGATTGCCTGTGACCCTGGGGGACAGCAGTAGGTAGCTGCAAGCCTCAGTTTCTTGGAGTGCAAAATGGGAAAACCACGCTGCCTTGGGAGTTTGACAAGTACGCAAGATACTGCGGTGTGTGGGACCCTTTGGCCCGTTAGCTATTTATGCTGTGTGTTTCTTTTCCTGTCTGTCCACTCCAGAAGGCTGGGGACTTGGTTTTTTTATAGTTTTGCTCCTGATACATTCCCAGGGCCTAGAACAATGTCTGCAAGGCACAGGCGGGCTGAGTGTTTATCCGTATCAAGCGTTTATCGTGGTATCTGTAATTTAATGACGGGCACTCGCCCCTGCTTTCGTCCTGGTAATTGAGCTGAAATGCTGACGATGAATATATACTCCGAGCAATCACTCCTGACATCTTATTTTTCAGTGGAGAAAAAAACTTTCACATTTTTTACTACATTTATGCTGGTTTAGCTGAAAAGAAGAAACTAGCCCTGTACAAGTTGCCCGAAAATAAACCTCCCAGGTAACTGACCACATTGCCCTGAAATACGTAATGCTTTCCATTCCCACTTAATCTTGGTGTTTATGCCTCTTTTTGCACTTTTCTCAGGTACCTCCAAAATGACCACCTCAGAACAGTACAGGACATGACGAGTAACAGGTTTTATAAATCCCAGTATGAGTTGACTGAGCAGTGTTTCAAAGTCATAGGCTTCACTATGGAGGTAAGCACCAAAGCCTTCAAAACGCGTCTCTGTCCTTGCTCGTGACAGGAGTTGGCATTAATTGAATGACTAATAGATGGGTTGTTTGGGGAGATCTGAATTTTGCTAAGAACTCATTATCAAATTTGATGTCACACATTTGCTTGATGAATTTTCTTATGGTACTTTAAATTTATCCTGTATTTCTAACTTTGCTTCTTTCTCAGCCTAAATAAATGTGTGTATGTGTGTGTATATATATATATATACATATATACACACACATACACACACATACATATATTCTCTTTGCTATCTCTTATTCACTGGGCTTACAAAGAGTCTTTAATCTTTAAAATCAAAACAGTTGATATATTTACACGTGCTATATTTTCCACTATCTATATTATTAATATCCATGTTTTATGTTTATTAACTGAGTCATTTGGTTTCTTTTGCTCTTTCTTTTAAGGAGAATATTCGGTTCCTCTGTTTACTTTTCTGATTTAATAATGAGCACATTTAAGGCAATAAATTTATTTCTGAGTAATAAAGATGTTCTCCTGTATCGTAGTTTGTATTTCTTTCATTTTGATTCCAACATATCTTGCTTAATAGGGACTCCCAAAAACTGTTAGGGAATCTTTCAAACTCTGCTCTTAGCAGTTCACTGCGCTGCATTGAGTCAGAACCTGTGACCAAAGGCCTCACTCTGGAAGCTGATTCAGGCTCTTAAATGAGCCCTCTTGGGGAAGTAGTGTGCACTTCATTGAATTTCACTTAATTTTTCTAAACAGCCCTCCTGCAGCTTTAAGCAGTAAATGTGTCTGTTTCAGAAACTTGCTGAAAGTGCTTGGGCCATCAGATCTCTACTAAGAATGTAAGCTAAAAGAAAATACCCATTCTTCTCAAAATATTTAGGAAATTTAATTAGAATATAAAATGTAGAGATGCCAATAGAAGTGAAATTTTACAAAAGTCATTCAAATTATGCTCAGTTATGGAATTTAGTCTTTTTGGTTTTAGGGCTCTGTTGACTCCTCTGTGAGTCAGCTCTCTGTCTCTGTAGTGAAATACTTGAGATGATGAACTTATGAACAGAAAAGTTTCTTTTGGCTCCTACTTTTGATGACTGGGGCCCATGAATGGTTTGCCCCTTTGCTTTGTGCCTCGGGGCAACGCAGCACAAAACAGCAGGAAGCTCATGAAACAGCAAAAGCAGCTACATCACAAGCCAGGGAGCAAAGAGAGGCAGGGAGGAAGGGTCACTGCAGTGACCCACAGATGCTTACTGGGTCCTCCTTCCAAGTATTCCACCACCTCCCGGTCGGCCACCGTGGACCTCTGGGGGCCGTGTAACATCCAAGTTACAGTAGTTTCCTTCTAACATAGGAGGTTGTCGATGGTAACCTTTACTTCATGCTCCATGTGTGCGTTAGGAAGCCATCTTTCTGCGGGTGTAAGCATTCTAGGCATAGAGCAGAGCCTGCTGCTGAGACCATTTTCTCCTGCTCTGCTGTTCTGCGGCTTTTGCAGCTCTGGTGCACACACACACACACACACACACACACATGCACAATGTCCTGCCTTTTTTGTGAATGCTTTTGGCTCCATCCTCAGTGCCCCTGAGGCACACTCCTGGGAGGGTATTCTTAGGGCATTGCCCACCGCAGTGAAGCCTGATTTCTGTCCACTGCTTGAGGTTGAAGAAGAAGGACAAACACATGTCTTTCTTCTCAGTTGAAATCAGGCCCTGATGTACAGGAGCTGTTCAGGTAAATCCCAGGTCATCTCTGTTCACAAGATTCCCTGAGATCCATCTCCCCAGGAATAAAATTACAACCCAGAGATGTTTTGCAGCGATACTTGGATAGAACAAACATAAAGATTCAAGTGGTGCTCGTGTGATTTCACTAAATGCTTTCTTGAGCCAGGTGTGATGGTGCACACCTGTAATCCAAACTCTTGAGGAGGCTGGGGTAGGAGGGCCGTGAGCCCAGCCTACTAATTTAGCAACTTAGCAAGATGCCACCACAAAATTTAAAAAAGCAAAAATGAAAGGCTGGTATGTAGCTCAGTGTGAAGGCCCTGGGCTTGATGCATATTAACAAGGGGTAGGGGGTTTCTTAATAGAGACTTTGGAAGGAGAGATTTGGTTTCATGTAGTCCCTGTACAAATGGAAAAAGTAGAATAATGATATAATCTGGTTGCTCTAACTTAAGAAATAAGAAATTAAAGTCACTATGAAATAACTTTGCTAGATTTGACTTATGCATCTGACAGCATACATACCAATAACTATCACAGCGATCTGTTATGTCAGAGGCAAAGAAATTGCTCTTGTGTAGCTTTTCAATTTTTAGGGTAAATTTCTCTAGTGCGGCCTTTCTCCAAACCCAAGAAGAATTCAGAACTGATGGGAAGGCTGCTACCTGGCCACCTTTGGTATCTCAGAATTTAGACTTCGTGGCCTGAATTCTGAGTAACCAATCACCGCTCTTCTGTCTCCAGATTGATTCGTTGGTTGGAGGGAGGGGAAGATGAGGGAGAAGTAGAGGAGCCGGAAAAACCCAGAAAACTGCAGCCGAGGAGAATCAGCTCTGTGGGGAGCAGTGAAGGAGCCCACGGATGAGTGTAGTCACTGTGACCCCGTCACCCCCCAAAGCCCGCCTGGGAACACGGGAGGGCAGGTGGGGCGCCTTCCATCTAAACCCTCATGACACGGGCACTCTGGCTGCATCTCTGCCTCCTCCCCCTCCAAAACTCAAACTCTGGCTTCTGCTCGGCTTCTGTGGTCGCGTTCCCTCCCTGGCCTCCTCCTGATCTAGTCCTTACAAAGCTGATTGAGGCCCACAGAGCCCTGGCTCTTGAGACACAGCCCATGGATCGGGGGCGCGTCAAATAAAGCATAAAGCAGCATCTGTCTGTGGTCCTCAGCGTGCTGCTCGGAGCCCAGCCCCTGCTGGATAGCGGGGTTCTGTTAGACACCCGGGTAGCGGAAAGCAAAGTGGCGGGGGGCATTTTGGCTCTCAGGGTGTCTTCCAGAACACAAATGCTGTGCACCAACCATCGGTGGGCTTGTTCATAGTTCTTTTCTCTGCTTTTTGTCATCAGAAGAGCTGGTCTGCTTCTGACCAGGCCACTCCCCCCGAGGTGGCTGTCTCAGAAGCAGGGAATCATTTTTAACTGATTTGTTTACTTCTCAGTCCCATGCATGAGAGGCCGAGTTTCTCTCCTATTTCACTCAACTGCTTCTTCTTGCTTGGTAGAGCGATGTGTAGCCTCACTGAAATGAAATCAGTTTCACAGTTAGCAGCTACTGACAGATATAATTCATTTGGTCAAGATGTATCGAACACCTGAACCAGTAGCTCAGGACAAAGGAGACTGTAACATCCACTTCCGCCTCTGAAGCATCCCCGCTGCTGGACGCTGTGCGAAGACTTTCAGTCCAGTTCAGAGTGACCCTCTAGGACATGGTGTCCTCCTACCTCAGGTACAGACTGTGAGGCTTCACGGGGCACCTTGGCCCGGCTGGGGGACAGAAATTAAACCAAGAGGATATGGATTTCCCTTTTGTCCCAGTCCTGAACTTTCCAGCTTTCTCAGATCTGTTCTCTGTCAGCTGCTGCAGATGCATGCTGGAAAAAGAGAAGCGTCCGGCTACCCAGGGTAGTGGCGTGATTCTTGCCCGCTCCCGGAGCAGTTCCCCGCGGCACAGCTCCACTGGAGTGTTTCTCCCCGGCCTCTTCCTCTCATCGGTGTTAAGAGCCCCACCCTGTCTGTGTCCCTTTAAAAATCCCCAAGGGTGACAAGTCACATGTGCTTTTATGATTCTGCACACGCTAAAGGAATGACAGGCAATCAAAATTAGAAATTCTCTAAAAATAACCCAAGTTGGAAGGCTCTAAGACTTCTCAATCATGTGATTTTGTAAGCCACGTTCTTGCCATAGTTTTAAAATAAATGACTAGTCATGTGATGATTCGGTCCATTTAGGGACCATTTTTACCACACCGATAGCTGAGCAGGAATCTTTGTTTTTCTATGCACAAAACCATATGTCTTAGATGAAATGTTCCTTTTCTCTGCTTTAATTTTGCTTACATTTCTTTGGATAGTCTAAAATTATAACTGAGAATGTTTTCTTTGGATTATCATTTTGGATCTTAGAATCAAACAGTGTATATGAAAGAAATTCAATCTGAAGTCATCTTTCTGCAGGTGTGAGAATTCTTGGCATAGAGTGAAGCTTGCTGCTAAGTACATCAAAGACTGCGTGAAACATCGGACTCCCAGGAAGTACTCCCACCTCACTTTTTACAACTGTTTTTGGTCAAGATAGGAGAGGTATATATGTCGTTTTTAGTCATTCAGTAATAATTTTAAAATAATAACTTGATATCTACGTGTTCTTTTCCCTCAAAAAGCACAACACAATGTGCAGCTCTAGAATGCTATGATTTGCTCAGTACTGATGACTTCAGCTGAGTGAGAAAACCCAGAAAGCCGTTGGTGTAATAAAAAGAATTCTGTGCCAGGAAGTCGCGATCCCTGAGTGGAAGTCCTCAGGACTGCTTGCTCCTGGCTGTGTGTCCTTTGACCAATAACTAAATCTCCCTGGACTGTTTGTATTGTTGAAAGAGAGGAAGGATGATTAATTTCTGAGTCACTTTGAACTCCTGCTGTCACTGATCTTATGACTGAAATTGGACCATTTAATTTCTCTCCACCCTTTGCAGATGGCTCCTGTCATTTTATTGCTTTAAGGCTTTTCAGAATTCCACCTGAGAACAGAGAACGTAATAGCCCTGTAGAGGCACAGCTGCAGGCACTAGGTGCCGTCCCTGCTTTCCCGGTGTGAGAGCTCTCCTGGCATGTGCCCCCCTCAGCCTGCTGTCGATGGGAGGCGCCTGCACTCTTTTGGGACTCACCTGTGTGAGGCCATTTCCGGTCCCTGGGGAACCTCGCTCGTTGTGAGGGCCAAGCCTCCTCCACCACTCTCTCCCGAGCTTCAGTT